TCAATATTACTTTGATAAGTAAAAATTATTTATGTAAGTTCAAGCCATCCATTAATAGTAGACATTAATTTCATTCATATTTCACACAGTATACTCCGTTTCTTACTATAACACTGACTGGGATCTTCTCCCCTTAATACAGGATAGTACAATTTTATTTTAGAAAATGACAATTGATGTTCCACTGAGATAAAGCTTGCTAACTTGAAAAAAAATAAAGCAGAAAAAAGTTGACCCTTTCTTTCACCATCAAAGGGCAACCACTGTCAGTAATCCCTTCCATTCTTTTTTCTTTCCAGCATTTATTTACATAATGATCATACCCTAAGTATCACTGTGTTTCTTGCTTTCTCCCCAAATGCTACTGTAACCGTGAAAACATAAGTTCTATTGATGGTTATTATAAATTCTATAAATGTAATTTTTAAGTGGTTGTATGATGACATCATTAACTGGATTGTGTATAAATAGATATTTTGATCATTTTCAAATTTCCTCTGCTTAGGACATTAAAAATCATTAGGAATTGTTTTGCTGGGGGGGGAGGGAACTTTTCCTTTGTTATGACATCATTTTTAGACCTCAAGAATTTGTATTTTAGTAGACTATAAAAACACTAAAGTGAGCATCATTTCATTAAAGGTAATTTATAGTGTCACAAAAGTTACTATACCAAGTTTCTCTGTTTTTTTCTTTAGCTTCTCTTTCATACTTTTCAAGTGTCCTTTTGTCAACCATTCCAGTCAGATACCTGGAAACATTTAAAGAAAAAAATAAATGAACACTTAAATTACTCACAGATTACTCAGTGAAGACAGGAAAACTTTTAAGCTCTTGCATCAAATTTCACCTCCAGAAAACAGCTATTTAAAGCAGAGGTACAAATGGTGAAGGCTAAAATTATGGAAAATTTATGGGGAAAAAATGGTATTTGCATAGTCTCAAATTATCAGATAAAGGGAAAAACTTGATAGTGGAGAATCCTGACAACACATCATAAGCACAACATTTCCATCTACAGAGCCTTGGTTAAGGATCCATGCTTAACTGCCTGTCATATAGCTGTTTGAAGAATTTCATGAGTA